CAAAATGAAGAATCAAGAAGAACACAGAACAAGAACGAGATATTACCTCAAAATGATGTCCCAACTGCAATGAAACTCGAATCCAAGCAAAGCCCTATGATTACAAGCCTCTTCTCCTTCAAGATTCCTTCAACAAACACCTCCCCAAGCTCCAAATGCACTCCAATCTTTCACAAACACGATTTCTAGGGTTTCTGGACTTCAAGGGGGATTAAAGAGACTGGGGAGAGGACATAATGTTCTTTAAATAGGACTCATTACCCGGATTTAGGGTTTTCTCCACTCAGCACCTACTCGCCGAGTCCATCTTTGGACTCGCCGAGTAGGCCACTTGATTCGCGACCAAGTCGCGACCCTACTCGCCGAGTCCATCCATGGACTCGCCGAGTTGCCATTCAAAATTTACATTTTTAGTCCTTCAACTCTACTCTTGGTATTCCGGGATGTTACACATTTCCTCCATCCAGGTTGTTTTGGCAAACTATTGGTGGGTTGGATTGACCAACGGTCCCACTGTAGTTTCCTCCTTCAGACTGCCATCCATTTACTTCAGGCTCTTCAGCTTGAATTGACAATTTTTTGCGATTCTGCCTAATCAGACGTATGGTTTCTTGCATCTAACAATCCAACATTTCCTGGATCATCACTTGAACTCCAGCCATTGTCATTGGCTCAGGTGCTATTGCTTCCAGAACTACTGGTTCAATCACAGGTGCTTGATTCTTGTGTTGGTCAGTGTTTCCAACTCCACTTCTCATTCTCACCATTGTTGATCTATACACCGAATAAGGTGAATTTAGATCCTCATTCACGGTAGATATTCAAATCATTATTATCACTTCGAAACGTTTACATGCTAGTTCTAATACCGTAGTCGTATGCATAGAATCCTAAACACATAAGGTTTCCAGACCCGGTCGGCAACAGACCATAGATCCGAACAAATAATATCATATATGGAAAACATATAAAATTTAGCACATAAAAGCATTTTAGGAAACTTTCCTAAAATATCTTAGTGCTCATGTCTAAAATATGGTAGACAATCATCTCACAATCATTGCTTAGCATTCTAAGTTTAAGTCTAGAAATGCTACAAATTTCCTAGTTTGCTTAAACTAATGCTCTGATACCAACTGTGACATCCCCAAATTTCACAGCCAGAAAAGACCGCTTTGTTTATGCTTTGTTTTATAAAATCAGAGTAATATTTTGATTAAAAGAGTTGCGGAATTTGTTCCCAAAACAAAATATGATAAAATTTATCAAAACGTTTCTCAAAGAGAAGGTATTTTCATTATATAACAAAATATCGGGATGTCATGTTCCGATACAGACACATAAGCATAAACAGAACTTACATTTATTTACACTAATGATTTACATCACCTCTAATCTTTCAGTGAAATGTGTCTTCGTATTGATACCTGTGATAAAAAGAAAACTAAGTGGGTCGGGCTTGGGAGCCTGGTGAGCATATAGGGTTTTCAACCCACAATAATATAATTATTATATTCAATTATCAAACAATTAACCCAACTACCCATCTCCATTATCTTCTTTACACTTAAGGTTTTACCCTAAGAATAAACTATCATTCATGCACTCATTCTTAAGGATTGACCTAATGATTTGGCACAAAGTCCATTGTTGTCAAAGTTTATCTATCATGTACTAAATCCATAGCTATCAGACGCTAACTCCATAGTCACCAAGGTTTAATTAACAAGCGCTAACTCCAAAGTCGCCAAGGTTTACTCAATAAGCGCTAACTCCATAGTTGCCATGGTTTACTCAACATGCGCTAACTCCATAGTCGCCAAGGTTTACTCAACATGCGCTAACCCCATAGTCGCCAAGGTTCACTCAACATGGATCTTTCACCACACATCAACTATTCCATCTACCCATGTTCTACCCAACATATTTGTAGATATAAAATATATATACATGTTAGCTCATTTAAAACCTATATAAAGCATTCATTCCACCCATCTAAAATAAACAAACAATATATAAACACATAGCATGTATTTTATAGCAAATACTTCGTATTTACATGTTAGAAGAAAGTAACTACACACTCACTTGATTAGACGATGCTCGGACAGCACTACGGCTTGTAAAAGTAGTATTCAACAAGGTTTTACCCTAAGAATCAATTATCCTTCATTAAAGGATTCTTTACTCTTAAGGTATTACCCTAAGAATCAATTATCCTTCATTCACTCATTTCTAAGGATCGACCTAAGAAATTGGCACGAAGTCCATTGCTGCCAAAGTTTATTTACCAGGTACTAAATCCATAGCTATCAGGCACTAACTCCATAGTCACCAAGGTTTACTCAACAAGTGCTAACTCCATATTCACCAAGGTTTACTCAATAAGCGCTAACTCCAAGTCACCAACGTTTACTCAACATGCGCTAACTCCATAGTCGCCAAGGTTTACTTAACAAACGCTAACTCCATAGTCGCCAAGGTTTACTCAACATGGATCTTTCGTCACACATCAACTATTCCGTCTACCCATGTTCTACCCAACATATTTGTAGATATAAATATATATATATATATATATATATATATATATACAGGTCAACTCATTTAAAGCCTATATAAAACATTCATTCCACCCATCTCAAATAAACAAACAATATATAAACACATATAACGTGTTTCATAGCAAATACTTCGCATTTATGTGTTAGAAGAAAGTAACTACACACTCACTTGATTAGACGATGCTCGGACAACACTACGGCTTGTAAAAGTAGTATTCTTTGGTAGATCTTGAAGATCTTCACAAAAAACGGCTTCTCGCAGGCAGAGCTTCGGCTTGGGAATTTCACATCTCGGGATCTTCAGGATTTGGGACTCGCTTCGGGTCTCGGGATGATATCGGGGCTTCAGGGGTACTTCTTTGCATGTAAATCGAGGTAATATGGGTGAGAGAAGAGTGAATTTGCAATCATGGTCGACTACCCCTTTAATTCTATTTACAGCGCCATTTTCTGTACTCACGTCGTAAGTTTTAAGTGCTCATGTCATGAGCACAGTAGGTCACTGCGTTCATCATTCGTCCACTTGCTTTGGAGGCTTAAGAAGGCATCAGAAGTCGGTTCACAATGTGAACACTGTTTTCACATCGTGAACCCTGACAGTTTTGGGGTTTTGCGTCCCAAACTTCAGAAATTAATCAGTTTTGCATATGAACTCCGATTTCGACGTTCTTTATATCCACGCGTAGGTAAAACAAGATCTACAACTTTCGTTTAGACTTCATCGGCTAATTTTGATTTTAATTTTTATTATATTATTTTTAGTATGCCAAGATAGGAAAACTCCGTTATAAACTCGTAACTTCTTCATCCGACGTCCGTTTTCATCTGTCTTTTTACCGTTGAACTACTATCGACAAGATCTTCGATTCTCATGTAGATTGTTTAGGCTAGAAATCCTTCGATCTCATATTCAAACTTCGGGCTGAACACAGCAAAGCTGGAACTTAGAAAAATCATAACTTCCTCATGCGAAGTTAGATTTGGACGTCTTTTTTATGCACGCTCTTGGTTTAACATATTCTACGAATTTAATTTAGTTCACTAAATCCGTATCTCTCTATCATAAATTCACTATTTATGTCGTGCTGTGTCGTGCCAGTTTTGTTGCGAAACGTCGACAGGTCATAACTTCTTCGTTATAACTCGGATTTCGACATTCTTTATTTGTACGGAATCCTTCTAACATATGCTACAAACTTAGTTAAGATTACTCCTTCTAATAATCTTCCATTAAAAATTCATTTTTGACTCTTATTATCTTTAAATAGACTAGCCCTAATCTACAGGCGTTACAATATATATACATACCAATTCCGCATAATATTGCATACAAATATATACACACATGCACGCATGTGCGTGCGCACACGCGCACACACACAGATATAAGAGATGTGATGGCACCAATTCCAATAGCTCGAAAATAAGAGATAAGAGAAAAAGAAATAAAAAATGTTTTAAATCGAGAGGTCGCCGATAATGTAGTAAACTCGTTGCCCATAGTGGAGATGGGAGTTGGTGGTGGAAAATAGTGGTGGAAATTGCTAGTGAAAGTATCGAGTCAGATATATGGAAGCAGATGAGGGGAAAGAATGCGTTGAATCAATGGTTATCTGCAATGAATTTAGCGGCAGCCTGTTGTATTGAACTTATTTACGCTTCTTTTTTTGTGCATTAGAGGCAATGTATATCCCCGCTATTGATTTCATCGATAATGGTATTATATGACGTGGATTTTCTGCTGTTGGATGTATGTCCCAATGAACGGTTAGGGTTACAAGGTCACAACTCAAAAAGATAGTGGCCATTTACCTTTAGCAGCGACGCTTATATCGATGTTATTTACTATTAGCAGCGAGACACTTTTATATGTCGTCGTTAATAATAGTTCTCACCACTATTGCCAGTTATTCTTGCAGGTGTTAACGGCTCCTGATGCTATGTTGTCGTTGCTAATATTCTTTTGAATGTCTTCTATCCATCACTTTTTTGTTATTTTCTAATATATGACAGCTAGTTTCAAAAAATCACCAACCTAGCTATTGTACGTTGGTTTGTGAAAACTTACTCTATTCTACAAGATTTTTTTGCACCTAAAATTATGAACACTATATTAAATATTTTCAAATTTACAAAATTATCATATTATATCAAAATGACGTCGTATTCGAAATTTGTTTTCCAATAGTATATTAATTTTAGGTTTCAAAAATGCAAATTTGTGATATTGTGTAAAAAATCAATTTCATTAAATATGTCCTTATAAATTAAATATATAATGAAAATTAATAAGATGAAAATAGAAGAATTTAAAAAGCAAGAACTATGAAAGGAAAGTGGAAACAGAATTTACAAACTTAGTGTCCAAGCATAATTTCATTGATCCTTATAAATATACCTTCACTATTCGCATGCAAAATCACTACAACGTATTACATGACGATTAATCAAGTTAACGCTGCCACGTCCACCTTTACAGCCGCTCTTCTCAAACCCATAAAAGAAACCAAGTCCAAGAAGTTGCTGGATACGATAAGACTACAACATCCGCAAGAAGGAAAAGATTTTACCATGAATTTTGTAAACAATGATGGTAAAATAGTTTGCAATCTATGCAAAAACACTTATGAGAAGATGAATGCCCTTTACCAACATATGAAGTTTCATTTTGATGGGGATTGGAAGATATTCTTCACATCACAGCCTAAAACGGTCACCGTCGACAAGGAGGCCAAGGTGGTTAATTCAATGGAGCCTCCACTTAGATGGGCGTTGACCAGAAAGAGAACCCGTCGGGCTTTGCTGGTGGATGATATTGACTCGAAGGTTTATAAGGGACCGATAATGGAAGTTCATGATCCAACCGATTTAGAAGGAGCGGAGAATCTCCTGGTCCTAGGATATGGTGATCATACGTATTTTCCTGAACCAAGTGTGACACAGAGGCAGATACATGCTGAAGAATCCGAGGGCGGAAGTAAAGTTTGTTTTAAATTCGATTTGAATCAGACTCCTCCGATGGACATGGAAGCGGAAGATCTCTATTATCTTGAGGAGTTTAGGTACCAAGAAGAGTGTGTGAATTGAAGGAAGCAATAAGTACTTTGGGTTTTAGGGTCTACTTTGGTTTTAAGTGTTATTTCTTCATTTATATAATATATTCTTGATTATATTGTTGAGCATTTCTTGGAATATTTTGGTTTATTGGTGTATAGAGTTCCACATCAAATTAGTAAGAATCTTTTTATTATCAATAAAACTTAACCCAATCTTATTATATTAAGTTTTCTATGATTTCCAACTGTTGTGATGTTAATCCATGTATCCTAATCTATGTCTATCAAATTGTTCGAATTCTGTTCAACTAAAGTAAAATAAAACCTTGTCAAATTTGAAGGCAGCAATGATCAAAATCTTTATTTTTAATTATTTAACGAAAGAAACAAAATTTATAACACGGACAGTAAGAAAGGAGATAACTATACAATTACTAATTTAAATGCATGGGTAGGATTTTTGGGTGGTATATATTCGCATAACACCAAATTTGCATTAGACGAAAGTGATCAACTATAATTAAAATGGTGGAATGCAATTTACCCATTCCCTATACTTCTATGTCGCGAACTTTTTTGCTGCATACGCTAGGAATTAGGTCAACACCAAACGGGAGAACTTTATTGTAGTTATCCTTATTGTTGTTGCGTAGGACATATGGAACTATAGAAACAGTATGGTCTTTAAACCTAAAGTTCATAGCCATAAGGAGTTGGCTTGCATTGTTCAATCCACGATCTATTACGGGATCACGACTAGAACTATGAATGATATAAATGTAAATTGGAACAATTGGTGAAATGATCCTGAGAAGGAATGTATGAAATTCTTGTACTTCTAGCTTCTTCTTAGTTTTTTTGTTAATATAACTCTTTTTTTTTTAAATCAAGAAAACACTATATTGTGGTTGCATTTTCTAGATGCGAGCTCGACCTAGATGGTGGACAATGGAGGCGACATAATGGTGGACAATGGAGGTGATCATCCCGTGTAATATTAATATATAATGATTAGCCTATTTTTAGAAAAAAAAAAAACAGATAAATTATAAGAAGTGTGATGGAGCCAAATTTAGAGGCCCAAAGTTGATAAATTACTGGAAGCAGGAAGAAGCAATATCATACATATAACAATCGTTACTTTTAAAGGATGTTGTAGGTGGAACCAAAATAGCAGAGATCGAATCGACGAATAACAAACTGACAACCTATGAAGCAATCAAGTTATGATAGAATGAATTAGTCATTTATGTCAACTCAATTCCTATGTTTCAACGATGTGAGAGTCTCATTGAATACTGAATCATATTAACCATCCTTCTCAATGTAACATCCTAATTTTCATAGTAAAATTTTCAATTTTAAAAGAAAATAAAAGTCATTTTCATAAAACCAATCATCCATAAAACGATTGTTCCCAAAACATAAACCCAAAAATCAGAGTATCATAACAATGTAGAATCTTAAACATGAAAGTTGTCGATGAATGTGTACAGTCAAACATTTGCCTTCCTACGATCCTTAGAAATACCTAAAACATTTAATCAACTATAAGTCAATTCTTAGTGATGTTCCCCAAAAATACCATACATCACACAATACACACAAGCATACAAACATTATCCTTCAGCCCAAGGTCGGTCCACCCTTAGTCTTCAGCATAAAGCTAATCCATCCCTGAAATTTAGAATAAATCTAGTCCGCCCCAAGTATCTTGAACTTCAACACAAAGCTACACCGTCCTCAACTCGTCACAAGATATATCGACACACACACACACACACACACACACATATATATATATATATATATATATATATGTATATGTAAATGTATACTAGGATACAACCCAATATTGTATACTATTTCAGGGTACAATAACAAACATAGATTTTGGCTTAAAGCTTAAGACTACAGTTCATTTACAAAAGAAAATATTAGATTTTCTGGAGGAACACACTAACATTTTCAAAGAGCAAAGATAGATTACTAAAACAAAAATGTTTATGAATTCACCAACTTAAATGTTGATACACTTTCAAAATCACTTGTATTCTCAGGGTACTAGTAGATAGGTACACTTACAAGTTTTTGAGAAGACGAAGCATTCATGGTGTCACATCTATAGTTTTTTGCTATACATTTTCGTGTTATACAAACAATATTACAAACAAAATGTATACACTATATTATTAATGCAAAGGTTGTTACTTTGATTACTATTATTCAATTGTTCTGATACTCTACGTGACGTCCTCCTCCACTAAACGTTTCCGTCGTTCCGGTTTGGGGGTGTGACATATGCAGAACTGATGTCTAGAGTTTAGCAAGACATGGCTAAAGTCTGATTCAGAATAATGAAAAGAGACATTAAATAGATAAATCATAAAAAACTAAATGATTGAGATGTTCTGCAGTCTTCAGATCTTCAGAAAGTGATGAAAAAATGCATAAAATAGCCTTCATAAGTTGTTTTCGTTGTCTAGGAACATCTATGGTTCAACTGAGACAACATCTAATATTTATATAACAGACTTGGCGGCAAGTAATGGTTCTGGAAATAAGCACGGTCTGTGCTTGGGGAGCACGATCCATGCTAGGTTATCGTAAATTTAGAACCTAGAAAAAAAAAACCCAAAAAAACCCAAAAAAAAAAACCTAAAAAAACTAGACTTCAATGGGGAAGCACGGTCCGTGCATAGGAAGCACAACCCATGCTTTAGATTTCTATATTAAAATATCCAAAATAATGGCACTGTTTGGGTTCAGGAGGTAGGCACAGGCTTTCCACACTTAAAACAAGTGACCTCCCCGTCACATTTCCCATGGTGTTTCCTTTTGCACTTTTCACACAATTTTGCTTTGCCTCCTCCTCCTCTCAAACCAGACTTTGAGAATTACTTTTCTTGTTGGATCGCATAGATCCATCGAACTTCATTTTCTCACCAACCTCAGTTCTCTCCAGACCCCTTTCCTTTAACTAGGTCTCAACATTCTTCGCTGCTCTAATGGTTACCTTCAACGTGCTTGCCATTTTGACTGTTGGGCCAAATTTTGATGGAAATCTGTAACAACGCAAATTTTCAAATAAAATTTTCATTTAAAACAAAGTGATTTCATTCAACCAATAGTATTTATTTCATGTTTCATATCAAATACATATATATAATCCCCAAGATCTCAATTAGCAGCAGTGTGTATGCATCATGCCGGCGCCTTCCCACGGTCCTCGCTAGTACCTGAAACACATACATAACAACTTGTAAGCATAAAGGCTTAGTGAGTTCCCCAGTATACCACTACACATATACGCCTTTCCAGGCCCGAACCTTACGGTCCACAGTACAACGCCTTCCGGCCCATGAGATAATCGCCTTCCGGCCCATAATATTTTGCCTTCCGGCCCATAACATATTGCCTTCCGGCCTGTAACATATTGCCTTCCGGCCCGTAACATATTGCCTTCCGGCCCGTAACATATTGCCTTCCGGCCCATAAACATATGCAACACATAGTACAATTACTTAAACACATATAGCACATATATCATATATCATACCTGACCTTTCTGTCACATAATACTTTGCCTTCCGGCCCATAGAACATACATAGCATGCATAGCAACTACCTTTTCAATTATAGCATATATATAACACATAACATATTCGACCTTCCGGTCACACATAGATACCCTTCCGGGTACAGTATAGTGAGAAGACTCACCTCGTGGTAATGTAAGCTATCAACTCTTGAAACTACTCGCACTCGATCCGCCGATCTGCAGACTTTCTATAATACCATATACCCTTATTAATACTCTTATCATTCAAGACAACTGACCCTAAGAATTTACATGCAGGTCAACTCTGGTCAACGGTCAACTTGACCGGACTCGTCGAGTGCAAAGGCGACTCGGCGAGTCTAGACGTCCTCCCCAATTTTCCCTGTTGTTCCCTTTCTACTCGTCGAGTATCCCTCTTGACTCGACGAGGTCCTCGTGGAAGAATCGCGGGGCCACCCCGACTCCACTCGCCGAGTCTGAAGAACAACTCGGCGAGTCCCAGTGAATCTTCAAGCTACTCGCCGAGTCTGCTCATCCGACTCGGCGAGTCCATGCCATGCAGTCGATCAACTGCTTCCTGAAACACGTATGGTCCCGAAATACACACTCATGGGACTATCTGGACCTCTAAACATCCTATTACTGGGGTATAAACACTTGGGTAACAACATAATAATCCATCTAATCATCAAATGGGTTCTATAAACCCTAACTTCATATACACATCAATCACAGAAGAACGAAATCCGAGATATTACCTGATTGATGCACTTTCTGTGTCCCCAATCCTCAGAACGTGATTCTCTTGCTGTTCCTTTAGCTAAACCTTCCTCTTCCTTGCACACAACTCTTCCAAACCCAACAATGGTCTTCAATCCTTGCTCCAGATGCACACAATCGTTCTAGGGTTCTTCTCAGTAAGCAAAAACGAACAATGACGGCCTAAGAGGCGTTATATACGATCCAAACCAGACGGCTAGGGTTTCTGCTGAACAGCGTCGACTCGCCGAGTCCATATCTGGACTCGTCGAGTCCAGTCGCGAACCCGCGACCAAGCCTGTGGTCCTACTCGGCGAGTCAGGCACCAACTCGCCGAGTCCCCTCCTAAAATGCCCCAAAAATAGTTTTAAAGCAATACCTGAAATTCCGGGCTGTTACAACTCTCCCCCACTAGAACTAGACTTCGCCCTCGAAGTCTCACTCTGCGAATAACTCCGGATGTTGCTCCCGCATTTCACGCTCCGGCTCCCAAGTCATCTCCGATCCCTTCCGGTGTTGCCACTGAACCAACACCAGAGGTACCTCCTTGTTCCGCAGAACCTTGATCTTCCGATCCCTGATAGCTACTGGTCTCTCGGCGTAATTCAGGCTCGCATCCACCTGAATATCCTCTAACGGAACCACCGCCGATTCATCGGCTATACACTTCCTCAACTGTGATACGTGAAAGGTATTGTGAATCTGTCCCA